GGAGAACAGGGGCTTAAGGAGGGAGGTCTCTAAGACAAATAAAAGTAGAATTGATGAGTTTGACTGCATTGAAAGGTACTTCATAAACTTAGTTACACGTGTGAGGTTGAATTAGTAATAGGTACCTAAAAAGTGAAGAAAAATAGGAGGCAAAACAAAAAGTGTAAGTGAAGATATCTAATAATACACTCTGTGGCTCAGCTATGAATAATGAAATTTCCATGGTTATAATAAAGTCACCCCTAAGTATTTCACCAGAAATTATAACCAGATTAGCAGGATGGGAGGAGGAAGGGATTTGGGAAGGGATCAAAGTGGGGAGGGAAGTGTAAGAGAGGTCAAATACTCATCTGCCATAGTAGGAAGTCATTTGCTAAATGTCTAAAATTTAAAATGAATAAATAGCATTATAAGCATGTTATTTAGAAAAATTAAATGCCAGAAGAAACTATTAAAGAAGTTAAAAATAATTTCTAGTAGAGAGAAGGACCTGGAGGTGGGGCTAGGGACTATTGTTTTATTATAAACTTTATGGTACTTTTACATACCTCTTTTTTTTTTTTTTTTTTTTTTAAATAGAGATTGTGTCTAGCCGTGTTTCCCCAGCTGAAGCACAGTGGCTTGATTGTAGTTCACTGCAGCCTCAAACTCCTAGGCTCAAACAACCCTCCTGCCTCAGTTTCTTGAGCAGCTGGGACTACAGGCATGCACCCACCGAGCTAATATTTTTACTCTTTTGTAGAGACAGGGTCTCGCTGTGTTGACCTGGCTGGTCTTAAACTGCTGGTCTCAAGCAGTCCTCTCACTTCAGCCTCCCAGAGTGCTGGGATTACAGGCACGAGCCACCATGCCGGCTGTACTTTTACTTTTTTAATGACATACATCTACATGATAAAAATAAAATTTAATAAAAGCAAATAAAACTACTTTTATCATTTAATTTTTATTTTAAAAAATGTATATAGTAAAATCGCTGGGTTGTGGAGATGTCGGTCAATGGATTAAAAATTTTGGTTAGAGGAACATGTTCAAGAGATTTATTGTACAACATGGTGATGATAGTTTATAACAGTGTATTGTATTCATCAAAATTGCCAAGAGATTTTAGGTGTTCTCACCACAAAAAATAAGTATGTCAAGTAATGCATAAGTTAATTAGCTCAATTTAGTCATTCCACAATATATACATATTTCACAACATGTTGTATAGGATAAATATATGCAATTTTTATTGTCAATTTAAATAAGTAACAAAATATGTAAGTAAAAAATGTCTAGAAGCCTATATAACAGCATACTAACAGTGTAACTCAATGATGTAACTAGGGTTGGTTTTTACTTTATTCATTTTGTCTTTTCTAATTTTTTTCTATAGTAACTTTTATCACCGGGCTTAACAGGAATCTTAAAAAAGTGTATTTTTAGCAATTGTTGTTGTGTTATATCCACAACAGGATCTATATATTCTGTCAGAGAGGTTTATTTTTTGACTCATAACTAGTTTGTTCTTGAAATATGTACTTTGTTCTTTTAATTAGGGCTTAAAATGTTAAAATATTTCTAAAGAGGACTATTTTGGGGCTCTACAATGTACCTCTTTAGTGAGAACGCCTACAGTTTAGGCATATTAAGACATAATTCATTTATTTACTAAAGAATTAAAATAATAAAGATTTGATACTTTTTTAATGTTAACTATCAGGTAAGAACATTTGATCTGATATTTTGACAATCCCATTCTGTGACAGTATGTAGTTCATTTTGTTGTAATGCAGATGGCATTTTTCTGGAAGATTTGGGCACAGGATCCCATGGAATATTAGGACTGGCAATGTTTTATACTACATAGACTCAGAAACTGATGTTAACTATTTGATAATGGCCTTGGAAACTTAAAAAAGTCTCCAAGTTCCACTGACACATTGAAAGTGTACGGCTTGCTACCATATAACGATATGTTAGTTTTCCAGATTTCTGTTCTCAAGATCAGCTCTTTCTGTAGCAATAACTCATTATTTTAGTTAAGACACATCCTAACAATATCTAGTTTTAACACAATAAAAATAACCTATTTTATGCCTTATTTATTTCAAATATGAAAACATACTCTTTTTAAAATTATTTTTTAAATTATGAGAGTGATCAATGGCATGGTTTTAAAAAATTAATAAGCACAGAAGAATATAAAATGACCGTCAGTCCCCTGTCACCCTCACCCCCAGAAATAGACATGGTTAATAATTTCTTGTATGCTGTTCACGACATTTTAATGCATTTAAAGCATATGCTTTTTCTTTTCACAAGTTGCATATCTTAGACATCAGAATTCTGAAATTTGGGGCTAGAGCTTATGCCATGTTTTATTTTCAACATTTTACTGTTGACATTGATTTTTACTTTGAATATTTTTCTTTTTGCTCTATTTTTAAAATGTGTGAGTATTTTATTTTAAAAAGGAGGGGTGTCTGTATGTACAGAATAACTTGAAGTATATTCTCTTTCCTCTTCTCTAAATTGTATAATTTTATCTCTTTCAGTATTGGGGGCCTTATTCTGGACACAACTGTATCTGACCCGAACTTGGTTGGGATTGTTGTTTACACGCCAGTTATTAATGGTAAGAATTAGATATACTGTTTCCTGATAATATCAAATCTTGTATACTCTTAGGTACTATTAGGAGTCTTAGGGCTCAGATTCAAGAGGTCTGTACTCCTATCCAGCCATTCTCCCTCCAACCCTAAGTTGTTGCTCACAGTGAAAATGACATTCGCAGATCTCAGGAGGTGGAATACATTTCTGAAAAGTCCTCTTTCTTAATCTTATCATGAACCACTAGTTTGAGAGTCAGGGATACCTGACTTAAGATTAATGTGGCAAAATACATTTCAGATTTAGTTTATTATTTACATTGGGATTATCTGCTATCGTATATTGTTCTGTTGTTCCTTTGGTCAATTTTTGTGGATAAATTAGAGACAGCTGGGTTTAAACATTGCTTGAGTCCATTCAGTTCATTAAAATCTAGGGTGGGCGCAGTGGCTCATGACTGCAATCCCAGTGCTTTGGGAGGCCTCAATAGGAGGGTCGCTTGAGGTTGGGAGTTTGAGGCCAGGGCAACATAGTGAGACCCCCATCTCTATAAAAAATTCAAAAATTAGCCAGGTGTGGTGGCACACACCTGTATTCTCAGGTGTGTCCTCAGGAGGCTGAGGCAGGAGAATTGCTTGAGCCCAGGAGTTAGAGGCTGCAGTTAGCCACTGCATGCTAGCCTGGGAAACAGAGTGAGACCCTGTCTTAAAAAAAAAAAAAAATTAAAGAGAAAAATCTGCTGGTCCTCAGCTGACCCCTTTGAAAATCTGTCATATATTTTTTTGTTATCTATGAAATGGGAATTATAATATTTAAATTCACAGACATTTATGTATGAATCACATTTAATAAGATCATTTTAATCCAGTCTACCAGCTTCTGGGGTGGCTGTCATTAAAGTGGATTTTTTTTTTTTTTTACTTTAAGTTTTGGGATACATGTGCAGAACGTGCAGGTTTGATACATAGGTACACATGTGCCATGGTGGTTTGCTGCACCCATCACCCCGTCCTCTAGTTTTTAAGCCCCGCGTGCATGAGTTATTTGTCCTAATGCTCTCCCTCCCTTTGCCCCCGACCTGACAGGCCCTGTTGTGTGATATTCTCCTCCCTGTGTCCATGTGTTCTCACTGTTGAACTCTAAAGTAGATTTTAAGTATAGCCTAGACCAATGCAATTTAAACAGTAATTCTACTTGGGGAAAAACATGTCCCAGGATATACTACATATTTAGTGTAATTTACTTTGCGTATCTATGTAAAAAGAAAATGTGTCAGTCGGGCATGGTGGCTCATCCCTGTAATCCCAGCACTTTGCGAGGCCAAGGCAAGTGGATCACTTGAGCTCGTGAGTTTGAGACCAGCCTGGGCAACATGACCAAACCCTGTCTGCACAAAAAATATAAAAATAGCCAGGCATGGTGGTACATGCCTGTAGTCCCAGCTACGTGGGAGGCTGAAGCGAGAGGATCCCCTGAGCCTGGGAGGGAGGCAGAGGTTGCAGTGAGCCAAGATCATGCCACTGCACTCCAGCCCGGGCAACAGAGCAAGACCTTGTCTCAAAAAAAAAATGTATATATGTATATATGTAAAATATATATATGACATATAAAGGCAAGTTCTTGAAAATCTAATTTCATATCTAAAATTTCTACTGAGTATTTTAATTTTTATATCCCTTTAGAATATCAATGAACACATTTTCCCTATAGGTCTCTCTCTTCGTGCCTCCATTCTCCCCATTGCCCACACATAAAATTGTGGGACCATCTATTTCAACCTGGTCCTTCATCCTTTTTGACTGAAAAGTGACCAAGCCATTGTCTACTTGCCCTTTAACACAGTTCACTTGCTCACTCGTTTATTTATATAACAAGCATGTCTTACCCTTGTAGCCTAATGTCTCAATATAGCCATCATTCAAGTAATAAAGTAGCCTTCCTGACTCACTCTCTATTTGATGCAAATTAAGTGTCACTAATAGCCTAGTCATTCTTAAACATTGTTTTTATTACATGGGTCCTAAGACCCATGTAATAAACAGTGGCTTTTTTATCCCTGCCTATCAAATCAAATTTGAATTTTTCTTCCTAGCTTTCAAGGCCCTCTGTACATGGTTGAACTCATTGTTTCGCAAAGACACGTACAAGTTTTTTCATTATTATTCTAGCTAGGTTTTTATATTGTCCCCACAAAGATTCATCTAATTTTCACTGCCTGGAATAACTACTGCTTTCCTCCCACCTCTTCAGATCCTCTTCTGTGAATATTAATGGATGAGTTCATTAGCATAAACATTACTCATAATGACTGTTAGAGCTATATTAAACAACATTTCAGTAAGAAATCTAACTTAAATTACAATAACCCTTTTATTATAAGACTTTAATGCATATTTCAGTTGTTTTACCTTACATAAGAAACAATTCTAGAGCTTCACTGAAATGCTCTCCTTGGACGTCTGTGCCGTGGCATTGCGTGATATTCATAGTAATGTATTTTTAGCCTCTCAGGAAGTAAACCTGTTAGTTGGCTATCAGCACTTTGGGAGGCCAAGGCAGGTGAATCGCTTGAGCTCATGAGTTTGAAAAACCAGCCTGGGCAACACGAACAAAGCCTGTCTGCACAAAAAATACAAAAATTAGCTGGGCATGGTGGTACACCATGAACTTATAAATTCCACTCTTTAAAAAACATTAATAGAAATGGTTTATTCTATGTTCCTGAAAGAAGATGGAACATTTGAGAATTGAATTTCATTTAAAATGTATTGGGGAATGTACTATTTAGAGGACCCTTGTTTATCTTCATCACTATCCTCATCATTATCTGCTATTTAGTGAGTACCTACCACTAAGTACCAGGTAACTCACAGGTTTCTTTTATGCATGTTATGTCATCCTCACAATAAGATCAGTAAGTTGTCTAAGGTCTCTTACCTTGTGAGTGGTCAGTCACGATTGAAGCCCAGATTGGGTCTATTCTAAAGCCTATGATTTTTTTCCTCAAAATATGCAGCTACTAATTTATGTTTTACTACCTACAAGAATGCATACATTATTTAAAGTAAGGCCTATCTGTGTTCATATTGTGACTAGAATATCTTTTAATATGTATTAATGTCTTTCAGAACTAGTGGCATTTTCCAAAATGTATTTCTTGGTAACACCAGTTCTGTGAGATGTTAATAAGTATAACTTGAAAAGTGAGTTCTGTGGTCAATCAAATTTGGTAAACATTAAGTTAAACAAACTTGTTTACTACAGGATTTCTTAAAGCCTTTGTCATGCTAACATATACGTGAGTCTCTCTTTCTGGTACTTCTGTTAGCTAGGTGTTGGGATTTCTAGATCTAGCCTTCCTCAGACCCCCTAGACCACACTTTGAGAACCATTGATCTAGGGCTTATATCTTTTTTATCACAGTCTACTTTCAAACAATAATGAATCACTTTACATATAGGATAAGAAGCTTATGTCACTATACTTGAATTACCACTCCTCTTTCTTATGTGCTCTTTTTTGAAATACATTTTACTTTGTAGTAAGTCCTGTAATATATTGTTATTATTTTTTGCTTCAGTTATTTTTAAAGAGACTAAAAATGAAAAAATATATCTTTTATATTTTCTCATATAAAGTTATATTTCCAACACTCTTTTCTTTGTGTAGATGCAGGTTTTTATCTGGTGTTATTTTCCTTCTGCCTGAAGAAATTCCTTTAATGTTTGTTGTAGGGCAGGCTTACAGAGGAAATAGAGGCTTTAGGCATGTCTCTCCCAGCATGCTTCTCTCTCCTTTCCCTTCACCACATTCTTATCTCTAACAATGTCTATTTTTAAATTCTTTCACCCCTATCTCAGAAGAGCTGATTCTTTTGCCCAGGACCGACTAGTTCACCTGTGCCCTGGATACTATTCCATTACAACTCCAACAGGAGCCTTACTCCATCAATTATTTTAACTTTTCTGGTATCTCCCGTGTCTTCCTCTCTTACATCTTTTCCCTTTAGCTTATGAATGTGCACAAGTCTTTTATCCCAAGTCACCTTTCCCATAGTGCTCTGCCTTCTCAAGCTTCTGTTCTCTCTCCTACTCTCGACAGTCAAACTTTCCCAAGTGTAGTCTGTATTTTTTCAACTCATTATAGTATTTTTTCTTCCTTCTTACTCTACAAAACTGCTTTTACTAAGCTCTCCAGTGACCTCCTAATTACTTTATCCAATGACTTATTTTCAGTCTTCATTCTATTCAGTTGTTTAATACTATTTACTATACCCTTTTTGCAATTCTACCATTCTGATCCCTTCTCTGAAAATTCTTTTTCATTTTCCTTCACTGGTTCCTTCTTTCTGCCTGCCTCTTTGTATTCTTCAAGTCCCTGCTCTTGAGCTCCTATTCTTAGTTTTTAACCTTCTTTCTGGGCAATATTGTCTCATCCAGAGATTTTTGAAGTGTGGTCCCTAGACCAGCAATATCACCTGGGATCTCATTAGAAATGCAAATTCTTAAGCCTGAATCAGCAGCTCTGAGGTAGAACTCAGCAATTGATTTTGATACATGCAAAAGTTTGAGAACAACTTGTCCTTGTCATATGGCTTCATTTCATGGCTTTATCCCTAGTCTTGACATATCTGTTCCTTTCTAGATCCATACTTTAAATTGGATATTTCTACATGGAACATTTGAAACTTCTAACTGAAATTATCCTCTTCCCCTCAAACCTGCCCTTTGGTGTTTCCTGTGTCAGTTAGTGGTGTCAGCTACCCAGTGTCCCAAACAAGACATCCCCAATCGCATACTTCCTCTCCCTTATCCTATTTTTATCTGCTCTTGAAATAACTTCTGAATTAGAGATGCATTGGTTAGAAGGAGGATGAAAGCTATGTTATTGTAGCCAAGAAGGAATCAAGAGGGACTATTTATTCAGTGATCAGGAAGTCATTTGAGAGTTCAGTTTTGTTGAGTAGCAGACTAGATAAATGAGAGTACAGTCTTACAATAGAATGTTATTAACAATAAAAATGGATAAATTACATGTCCCAGAAGAGCAAGGATGAATCTCAGAAACTTATATGATAAATTGTTCCATTTATCTAAAGTTCAAGTGTATGTAAAACCAAATTATATAGTATTTAGGAATATACATGTGTGTGGTAATAACACAGAGAAAAGCAAGAGAATAAAAAACACAAATATAGTCACTCTGATAGGGAAGGAAGGATATGAGATTAGGGAAGAGTGCAGAGGGCACTTCAAATCTAAAGATAATGCATTCCTTTTCTTAAACTGGGTGGTGGGTACATGGGTGTTTTTTTGTAGTATAAATCTTTATAACTTACATATGTTTATAAATGTTATTTTTGTATTTATTAAATAGTATAAAACAATAAACATCTTAGAAGTAGCACTTTTAGACTTCATGTTAAATGATTGACAGTGAAAAGAAAAGAATTAGAATAACACTTGGAAGTCCAGATGAGGAACTTTTTCCAAGAGAAGAGACATGTGGGTACGTTTGTTGGCAAGGAGGCAAAGGAGTAATAGAGAAGGAAAGATCAAGGATGCATGAGAGATGGTGAATAATGAGGGAGCAAGGCCCATGAAGTGATGGACCACACAGTAGCCTTAGAAAGAAAGGATAACCCCTTATTTCAATGTGGTAAGAAAAGAAAAGGAGTCCTGAAGAAAGACAGGTGGAAATACACAGATATGGGCGAGGGGATAGAGACTAAGATGAACAAGGACCTTACAACTGACAGCCTCAGTTGTCCCAACAAAGTAGAGAGATTCATTTCTCTAGGACAGTGTTTTCTAATCTTTCTCATGTCATAGCACACATAAAAATTATATTCGGATGGCACCCTAGGGTGAAGAAGGCAGCCATTTGCAACCAGAGGTTCCTGATATGCCAAGAGCTTAGAGGATAGTATCTTGACACAGCTGTAACCCATCTGAGCCACACTGGTTGGGAATTGCTGATCTAAGGCAGTGTTTTTCCATCTTTTATTTTCATCATCACCTTCTGAAGGAGCCGTTTGAATCATTTTTTTTTTCTAAATGTACCTACCCATGAAATTTTCATATTACACATCTACTTTTTATCCATTTATGTGCTGTATGTGTAAATGGGCTTTATAAATAAAATGAGTGATTTTTTTTCTCCCCTCAAGAACCAGTTTTCACCTCTGTTAAGAATGTATAATCTAAACTGAGCATGTTGGCTCACTTCTATAAACCCCAGCACTATGGGAGGCCAAGGAGGTGGGATTGTGTGAGCTCAGGAGTTTGAGACCAGCCAAGGCAATATAGTGAGACCTCATTTCTACAAAAAAAAAAAAAAAAAAAAAATAGAAAAAGAAAAGAAAAATCAGCCAGGCATGGTGGCACACACCCATAGTCCCCGCTACTCGGGAGGCTGAGGTGGGAGGATCACTTGAATTCAGGAGATCAAGGCTGCAGTGAGTTGTGATTGCACCACTGCATTCCAGCCTAGGCAACAGAGCAGGACCCTGTCTCTAAATACATACATACATACATAATTTATTTAAAAAAGAATGCATGATCTATGGTAAAGGAAGTAGAAAATTTAGAGAGTTCATCAGCCATTTACCACCTTGTCTACAAGTGTGTTGGGAGGGAAATGGTAAAGGTAATGCATTAGGGATTAGGGAGGTGAATACGCCTACCCTTGTTTAAATAAAAAGATCTTCACTAAAAGTGTGTTCCAATGTATTTCTTCTTAAAACTATGAAAAAAATGGAAGCTATTTCTCCTCCATCTTTTTGCATTTCTTGAAACTAAAAGAGTAATTTCTGCATGTGAGTTCTGGTAAGTCCTGAGAGGAGAACAGGTGAAAATGCAGAGGTACGTAGAGATGGCGAAAATAGTTAGGGATTTAGGAAGGGGCCAGACTTCTTATACTGTTGATTATAAAGATTTATTTCTTAAGAAAATGAACTTTTGCTTTGGGTTCCCTTCGGAATGTACAAAGGAATTCTTGACAGAATTTGAAATACATTCCATGACGTTAGTGCTAAACATTTACTGGAAACATATATTTCTAAATTTAACAAAACATAAATTTGGATTTTAAAACAGTCCCTAGATGAACCTACTGATAATTTCTTCCTACTTTCAAACTTTATTTCATCAGCTGAGCTTATTCAAGCATCAGACACTTAAAATTCGGTCTTGTGGATACTGAGGAATCTTGCATATTAATTAGTGTATTGACAAGTTGTTTTTACTAATACTTTTAATTTATGTGAGACTATCTTTAGATGCTCTCCACTGGCTTTAATAACACAATTAGTCCCTAAAGACTTTAAATAATTTAAAAGAAATGTTGACAGACTAGCTTTTAGTAGAAACATAGTATATGTCATTATAGCAAGAAAGCATTTTTTGACATTAAAGAAAACTAGGCCGGGCGCGGTGGCTCAAGCCTGTAATCCCAGCACTTTGGGAGGCCGAGACGGGCGGATCACGAGGTCAGGAGATCGAGACCATCCTGGCTAATATGGTGAAACCCCGTCTCTACTAAAAATACAAAAAA